AATTTGATAACCCTCAATTTTTAATTCGAAGATCATTGAAATTGGGAATTGAGTTGTGAGATTAAAAGTGAAATTGAAATTGATAAAACCCAATTCCTAAGTACAAGGAATTGAAATTGGGAGTTGAGTTGCTAGACAACAAGTAGAAAATTCAATTCTTAATACCAGATATTTTCCAAAAGTAATTGAACGAAGTAGAAGCATCGGAGCTTACTCTGTGACTGTAATGGAATTGATATTGGAATTGATTTTGCACAGCTCTGTCCGTAATAGCGACAGGAATAATTGAAAAAGAGATTTTATCTTCTAGCATGGTTACCTAATCTGCAATGACCTCTAAGATTAGGTACCTACCATAACACTGATTTCTGTATGAGGCAACTTAATGAGAGTGTTGGATTTTCTTTTAATGAAACGTGGCCAAATTGCATACGGATGCCTACATAATGCTACAATATGCGTACAATATGGTTTCTGTTTCCTGCAGGTTTCCACACTTTCTGCTTAAGGAAGTGGTTTATAATGAATTCACAGTTTCTCTGCGTGGGTTCCTATATACCAAAGACCAGAAAGAACTGCTGTAACCCTTGCAATATGTTTTGTTTCCAGAATCTAGTTTTATTGTAGATGGGCAGTGTTAACCAGGAAGTTGCATATGACTGAAGTGCCTTCCATTTATTGGTCAGTTGAAGAAAGTAGAGGTAAGTACTTCTCTTAAAGGTTTCTAGGGTATCATACCGGTACCACTACGGACGCATACAGGCAATCACCAAAGCGGGCTAAACCGTCACCTTTCTCGGTCTTTAAAAAATGGCTTTGCTAAGAAACTTGTAGTCAAAAAACTTTGAATATCTCAAAAACGGTTCATAGAAATAGTTGTTTATTAAAAATCAGATGATATCGTGTTCTAACAGACAATTGCAAAAAAAATGGTGTGCAGTAGAAAGAAACTTCTTGAAAAGAAATAACGTGTGAAAGAAATATTGTAACAAAAGTAATAAAAATAATTGAGTAAGTATTTTAAGAAATATGAGAGTTTCTATTTTTCAATTTCAATTTTTAGCCCTATATTTTATTTCAAAACCGTTTTTGTATGAGAACATATTGGGTAGCGACCTTAAGGATATTTCAGCGGCCAATGAATAGTGTAGGCCATCTGACGGAAATGTTTACGAAACATACGATTTTATTCGTTTCTCAGTTCAAAGAGTCATCTGACAAGAATAAGACATATTTTTCAAAAGATCTTTTATATAATCGGATACTGACGAGTATTATTCTGATTTTTTATATAAAAATAAAATTTCGTTATTTTAAAACTTAGGGAACCATGATTTAATTATTATATACTACATATTTTTATTTTTAATTTAATTATTCTTAAAATCCTATTAAACTTTAAAATATCAAGATATTGATGATAAGCCTCACATAATCGCAATATATAAATTACACATGACACTCATTTCGACTGAAATACCCAACTAACTCTATAAATGGTTATGTGAGTATAATAGCAAAATGCCGACAGTAGCGCTTAAATGCAATAAAGTACAGAAATCTTTGATGTGCACAAAAAAGCGAACATTTTTTTTTTTGAAATGCTAAAAACTACTGCATCTGTGCACAAATAAACTTTCTTGTGAAAAATGATTAAATATTTTTCTTGTAAACAATTTACGATATTTTTATGCGTGTTTGCACAAAATAAGATGAAACAAAAAAGGTCATAACTGCATTTCTATAATTAATTTTTACATATTTTCATTTGAGGTGAATTGGTGAAAATCGATTTGTAACTGCACTTAAATAATTTTAACGAAGTCTTTAGTGAAACGATAATTATTTTAAAACAATGAATCATTTCACTTCATCAAACTAGAGCACCACGGATTATATACTGCTAAAGAGTTGGTAACCTTTTCTGAAGTTGAAAGAAATACTCACCTACAGTTTTCAGTTACAGTAATTACGTAGAAAATATATTAACTAAATCTAGTTGTATTATTTTTTTTCAAATAATGGAAAAAATGCTCTTTTTATTATTTAATAAAAATACTTAATACTTAATACTTAAAAATACTTACTTAAGGATTGATTATAGGTGCCATTACATCATAGCTTTAAATATTCGAAAATGCTCGAACATCATATGGTGTTAAGACATTGGCTGTTATATAAATTTCTTTAATACAAAACGAAAGTATTATAAAACAGAGAACAGATCGACTGTTCGAGCAGCTCAAACAATTTCGAATATAAAAAATATTAAGTCCCAATCCTCGAATTCGAGTATATTATGAAGCATTACATTATACGACTGCACTTTATATATCGATATATATATATTATATGTAAATAATTTGAACTGTATTAGGAAAACTTATCTACTGATACTATTTAGGCAAGGAATTTGACAAGATTTTTATTTTCGAATGCGAATACGTATTATTTTCGAATTTTATTTGCAAACAACATTATGTATGCGTTGGTTAATAAGTGAAAGTGTATGTAAAAATTATGCACATATCTAGCCAACATAAATTCCGTTTAAATGGATTTTATTTTTTTGGTAATACTACCTTCAAGCTTATCGAGTAAAGGATTATAACATACTATAGTCGTGTGGTAAAACAACAGAACGATTTGGGCTAACCATGTTCGATCCTAACTCAAGGAGTTGATGGCAGTATTCACTTACCTACCTGCCTGTTTACCTTCAAGATTACGTCAAAGTTATCAAGATTTTCGGAAGTATTTGATTTATTTTTTATAAAACTTTGTAGAACATTAAATCACTATTAAGAAAAAGGTTGTGATACAATGCATAATATAAGCTAATCTTAAAATTTTAATGGAATATATCAATTATTGTTTTATTTTTATAATTATGGATTACTTTATTATAAATATTAATTAATTTATTATTTATTTTTCAAAAAAGGGGCAGAAATAGTTACATTATACTAGTTTTCCTCGTTCAAAATGCACAATTACTGATTATTTCTTTAATCATAATCATCATCATATAAGTTTTGTTAAAAATGATGTCCCACGCTTTTATTGTACGGTGGTTGTATCTAGGTAGCATAGTTGCAACTAAGAGTGACGTGGACGAAGACATTGATTCCTCGTTTAATCAAAGCCAAAACTGCATTTGATATGCTGCGTATTGTGTGGCGCTCTAATCAAATTTCCACTTGCAAATTCGTGTTTACAACTCAAATGTAAAGTTTGTGCTATTCTATGCCTGTGAAGCTTGGAAAAAAAAAAGACAGATTAATATAAAAAAATACAAACTTTTATGAACGAATGTTTACATCAAATATTAAAAATATGGTGGGCAAACCGCATCACAAACACCAAACTATTGATCGTTACGGATCAATCACCTGCTACTGTTGAGATAACGTGTTAAGAACACGTAAATGGTGCTGAATTGGACAAAATCTCAGCAGACTCAATGGAAACATTGCACGCCAAGCTCTGAAGTGGAATCCTTACGACAGACGTCGACCTGGAGCGCCGACTAAAACTTGGAGAAGGACGATTAAAAAAGAACTAAGAGAAGTCAATTATTTCTGGAGTGATATATGCCAAGAATCAAATAACAGAATACGATATAAAAAGATGGTAAAGACCTTATGCTCCACTGGAAGACGAGGATAAGAGAGAGAGAGGGATTTGTAACAAAGGTACATCTATTGTTCTTTGGGGCCCTCGTTGTAATGGGTGGAATTTCGACAAAATTTTGTAGTGGCATGATGATAAACTCCAAGATTAATACGCGTTTAATTTTAGAGCCATATCACCTCATGAAAGGGTTCATTTTAAATGTTAACAAACATGGTAAAGAATAAAAATATGGCTTCCATGGTATCACAAAAGCGGTTTTATATATCACTTTATAATATTATATAGAATGTGCTATTTTCATAAAAATTTCTAGTGACATGAATTCCAGGATTTTTTTTTGTGGTTGCATGTACTAATAATAGATAATAAAATTAGTTTAGTTAGCATTTAAAATATGTCTACAGATTTTCGTCTTCACTAATAGCACTTTTATTCTTTCGTTTTTTCTTCTTATTTTCTTTCTATTCACTGCTTCTGTTGTTGTTGTTGTTGTTGTTGTAGTGTATAGTCACGTATATGCGCAAGTATAAAAGTGAGTAAATATTAAGTTCACTGATTGGTAAAATGAATGACAACTACTGCTGTTGTTGGTATTGTATTTATTGGTGGTGTGTGCTCACGTCTATGCGCATATATGATTGTAAATATTACATTTGGTGAGATATAAATTTGGTCTTCTTAGGATAAGAATTTATGACAAAAAAATACAAAGAGGTAACAAATTTTATTCATTTTTAACTGATTATATTATTTTCGTTTTCCATTTAATGAATTTGATTTATGTTATTTGGGTTTAAAGCCATTTTAAGAAGGGTCAACTAATTTAGTGGATAATATTGAGAATTTTCTTAAAGATAAAAAGTATTTTCAAACACTTTCTCTTCATTAACTACTCAATATATGTTATAATGCTCAGCTTCTTTTTATTTATCAAAAAATATACCATTGAACTTTAATTATTTTTACTTGCTAATAAATTAAAGAATATATTTCAGTTTCAAAATTAAGATACCATATTTATTGTTATTCAAAAATTATCACAAGTCGAAATCATTCAAAACTTTTTTGTCTGAAAGTTGTTTCAAAATTTCTGGTAGAAAATTCTCAGGATCTGTGAACAAATTATTTGGATTTTAAAAAGTTATGTTTGAAATTATTTTTAATGATGGCTACTTTTCGCACACAAAAAAGTATAATGTATGCAATTAAAAATGCAGAACGTATTGAACTTGTTTCGGAATCAGACTTAAGTAGCACTGTTGAAAACCATACTGCAGAGAGCATCGTTATCTATGAGTATGAACCATTTCAAGGAAAACGTATTAAATTTCTTCGCAATGGGGATAGTTTTTTTACAGGTAAAATAATATCATTCTCATTAAATCGTTATAGAACTATGGACTACTTAATGGATGACTTGACGCAATTGCTTCGCGAAGTAGTCACAGGTCCTATTAGAACAATATTTTCAATAAATGGAACAATTATTACCGATATAAAACATATTTTAAGGAGTGAACTTTATGTATGTGCCTGCAATAATGAGAATTTTAAAAATATCCAATATAATATTAACGAATCCCGATCTAGAAATATGATTCCAAGAGTAATTACAAATTTAGAGTTTGTTTTTCCACATGTAATAGTTCTTATTCGAAATGGTTCAAGACCTCGTTTGATGTCACAATTGTTATTAAATAAACACAACAGTCTCTCATTCAATCACGTCATGCGTGTGATCACTGACGTAATCAAACTGCGTCCAGGCTATATTCGTAAGATTTATACGCTGCAAGCAAAACCTGTTAAGACTTTGGCGGATTTTTTTAGTAGTGATGATGTTTTTGTGGTTTTTGGCACAGAACGAGTACAAATTAATGATGACTTTATCTTGGACAACAAAGAAATCGTATCTTTGAAAGCTTTGAGCAAACGACTGCGTAATGTAGGCTGGCTTTATAGCTTAGAACAGTTAACCTCAACCAATACCGAGAAAGCGGTAGAGTACCAACCAACAACCAATTTAATATCACCAAACGTAATGCCTAGTATATGTAATGAAAACTATATTTGTAATGACTTAGTTGGGCAAGGAGGATTTGGTTTTGTACTTAAAATGATAGATAGTAACACACAAGAACCTTACGCACTCAAAGTAGTCGAAATACGTTCTAAGAATTCAGTGGAATTGAGAGAAATAGACATTCTGAAAAAACTCTCCCATCGCCACATTGTGCATTTGCTTAATGCCTATAAAAAGAAAAGCAAACTATTCTTAATGATGGAATATGTTAGTGGTACAGATCTCTCTGATGTACTTGAAATGAAAACCAATCTAACAGAGGCTGAAACTAAATTGACGATAAACCAAATTATTTTAGGATTACGTTATATTCATCATAAAAAAGTTATACACAGAGACATCAAACCTAATAACATCTTGGTAGAATTAAGTCATGGGTCTGAAAAAATAAAATCAATCAAAATAACAGATTTTGGGGCAGCCATTCAAACAGACGAGCCAGTATTTGATATTATAGGTACCCCCCAATTTATGGCACCTGAAATAATTAAACGTATTGGATATGGTAAAAAAGTTGATGTTTTCTCGTCTGGTATTGTGATGTATATCCTGCTCTTTGGGAAGTACCCATTTGGATTAATGGCCGATGATAAAAATTATAAGAAATTATTTGCTTCAATTATATTAGGCAAATATTCCATTCCGAATTCAAAAAAGTATGTAATATCGAATGATGCCAAAGATTTTATGGCAAAACTGTTATCTATAGATCTTCTAAAACGTCCCTCATGCAACAGACTTTTACGTCATTGTTGGCTAAATCCAGAAGAAGGGTCAAGTGATTGATGTTACCTTCTATTACTGTGTGCATATTCTTAAAGTTCTTAAAGTCAACTACTAGCACAGCCCAGCGTTATTGGTGTTAGCATATTTCCGTTATAAAGCATACGATTGAGAGACATCGCTGGATGCGACTAATTCAACCTGGCGGCAAGTTCAAATATTAAATATAGTTTTTGTCAAAGTACGAATGTTTTTCGAAATTTTAAATAAAGTCAACAATTGCAAATACATATTAACGTTAGTATACAAAGTTTTTTAAAATAGGTATTTGTAATGTAGACCATCTGTTATTATTCTCAAGTATAATAAAGGTCAATGGTATTTACAAGGGTAGGTGCCAGCTTCGTGTCAAATCAACTGAATATATATAATGGTTAATAGTTAAAAAGCCCATATAACATACCATATAACGTACGATATGCGTTAAACTTTGACAGAATGTGTATAATAGTGTTGCCAGCGTGAAAATAAAATAATTTACCGATTGGGAATTCAAAAATAGGACTCTCGTTCTTTTTTGATCAGAAGGTATATAATCGAAATAAAGTAATTTGATGTTTTTGACATACTTTTATTTATTCTTTAAACTGTAATTTATGTATGCAGTATTAGCATTATTCTAATTAATCTGCGGTTATTATGGATTTCGATTGCCCAACATATTCTATGCTCCTTACAACTCTGCCATGAGATAAACAGACATCATCGTAAACGTAGTTCATCGGTTCAAATGTTTTGGTAAGAGTTTTACCAAATATAAAACCAAATTTTTTGGAGTTCGTTGAAATGTCATCAAATTTTGTAAGAATATCAGTTAATCACATTTAGTAAGCCAGCGCTTAATACTCGATTTTACAAGTTCCTGCTACTAAAATGTGCTATCTACTTTGGAGTCCACCTTATATATACGTCAATAGATTTAAAAATGTTGTGTATTATTATTGCTTTTATTTTCTGTATACATATTTGTTTGTGTATCTGCTTTTATCAATATCATCAAGACGCTTTGGTGACAATTTTTAAATTTTACTAATAGTTAGATCATTTGATGGGATGATGAAATGAATTTATTTCAAAATCAAGATATAAATAAAACTGGTTTACTCTTATATTTACGCTTAAATATTGATATTCTTGACGTTTTTTCATTTGTGGTTTCCAGAATCATGCAGATTTAATTAAGTCTTGTTTATTGTGTTCTTGCTTAGAATAAATATCACAGGGAGTGGCATTAAAATGCTTCATTAAGTACTAGTTTACATACATAAACTTAAATGTTATAGCAAATATTTAAGTTTTATTCTCACCAAACATTTTTCTATAATAAAATAATTGTGGGTAAAAACCGCATTAGTTAGGTATCGTATATAAGTTTTCCATATAGAAGTGGAAATACTTGCTAAATTACTAAATATGATACTAAACTGATATATAATTCTTGATGGTTATATTTACAAGATAATTGGTTGACATTTAAATACAATTTCAGTGTTTTTTATTTAATTTAAATTTGATTTCGTTACAAGTTATTAGAACTCATAATAATACGTGGTAAAAAATTTATATTTCATTTTTGCTAATTAGTCAAAGTAGGTCAAAGTATTATGATTTATTGAGCTGATAGGTTTTCGAGTTATCAACAAAGAACTTCCGTTCTAAATGTGTAAAAATTAAGTAAAAGAAATTATAAATTATTAAATATTTATAGTATTTTGCAATAAAATTTGAATAAAAGTTTGAAATATGAATGCCGTGGTAATTAGTGTCTATATTAGGTTCTTGAATTAGTTGAAGAATTTATTCGTTAATAGTATAACTAAAATTTTTACGCCATACATCAGTATACTCGTATACTTGAAAGTATAGGATATTTTAGAAGATCATTGATCGGTCAAGAGAGATTTAGTGTAAGCTATAGGGACTTCATTACCCTAATTTTATGTCAAAGTTTGAGTTTCAAAAATAGATAAAACAAAACAGATTCGAGTGCAATTTTGTCAGTGACATCAGAAGTGTATGATTTTATCAGTATAGATTAGACTTGGGAGTATTACGAGGAATCTGTCAAATCGACTTTTCTTCTCGGGATCGAGTTCGTGTTAAATCAAGCTATTTATGATGTTATGCAAAAAGTTTATCACAATAATGAAATTTACCAAAATACTCTATTAAATTGGGGCTTCGAAGAAATCAAAATCTCATTGTAATTTATATCTAGATATCTTCCGATTTAATTCAAAATTGATGTCAACATAAGCATATCCGTAAGCATGTCGGGAGATACAATCAAGGTCCAAGTATTTGTGTTCATTATTGTAAAAAAATCACTTTTAAAATTCGACTCATATACTTTTCGATCGATATTTCAACTTATATGTGTGAGACCAGCGAGCTTAGCTTTATCGGAGACTTGCGATACATCTCGAAATGTTTGTAAATCTGGGTTTTTGATAAGTTTTGATTGAGAATTAGAACTTTTCACATTTTGAAAATGTTATATTATTTTTTTGTTATATCTTTTTTTTGATTATATTATTTTTTTTAATCTAAGAATATTTATTCAGGGTCTTGTTTATTTTAAAGACCCATTTACTGCTCTAAAATGGGCATTTTAATTGAATAAAAAAATGTTTAGTGATTTAATATATATATATATATATATATATATATATTATTTATTAAATATATGCGTATGTGTAGCGTTTAGCAAAGCCTCAGACATTACTATTCGTCAGCTAGAAATTGTACTAAGCCAGGCTCTGAGAGACTTTTTAAAGTACCATGGTACATTAGGACGAATGACATAAATGATAGAACCCTGAAATTATTTGCGAAAACTGACAGGCTTACCAACACAGCGTTATTTAATCACAATGGTTATGGCTATAGGATCCTAAGGAAGGTGTGCAGATCTGATGTCAATTTTGCTTAGTCTAATGAAGTGATATACAATAATCCAGTCAAGGTGTAGAGAGGCGTTATGAGCTGTTTAATCTAAAATGCTATCGTTAATCATAAATGTTATAATTATTAGTGATCAATATATGCCATTACCATAATAGATCTATTGTGTATAGCATTTTTAACTCTATATCTGTAGGTTCTCAATTATCATTATCTCTAGGACGCATAACAACGCCACTTAATTGATGGAATTAGATATTAGATTAGATTAGATTAGATTTTAAAACGCGTTGAGAACTTGGATATTCCTCTTTTGAGGATTATTGAGACATACCCACTTTAGTTCCATACATGAGTAGCAGTTAAGAACGCCATTATGTTATGTCCTTTAGAGAGATGTTGCCTAATTCCGTTATAAGTCAATAGGCAGTGGATAAGTATTGAAGTCTGGCAAGACAAGTGACACAAAATGTGTGCTGCTGTTTTCTTTTTCTTCCCAACAAAGTTTGCAGCTATCGGCTCTAGTAATACCTAGGTTCGATATATGCTTTCTAACTTTGCAATGGCTAGTGAGAAGCCCTGCGACAAGTTGGATGCCATTTCTCTTAGCATAAGCAGCTCCCTAGTTCTGGCTTTTGATCGATATGACATGGATTCTTTAGCCATAACGATTCTGCATGGATTCCGCAGGCAATTGTATTGTTCCAATCAGTCTGAGCTGCTCTTTCCAGCCACTCATTAATATGATGGAATATGTTATTCTCAACAATTTGAGTGAATGGTGTTTGAGTTTGTTTACAGACTTTTCTTAATTTAATCTTTATTTTCATACATTAATCTTTTAGTTATTAAAAGTGGAATCTGCGGTATTTCGCCGATTTTGCATAATTTGTTAACTATTTTTAGATGCAACTTAAAATTAATTTTTTTTCTTTTAATTCAAACATTTTTTCTCAAGTGTGTCATAAGTTTCACTATGACTTTCATTTTGTAACAAACAAAAACAATAAAAAATTACAAATCTCAAAATATTTTAATTATTTAATACGTGCATTTTAACGCTCATTTGCAGTGAATGCCGCCTTTACGTATTTTTTAATTTAATTATGAGAAAAAATAAAATAAAAATAATTTTACAAACAAAAGCGCAAAGTCTGCGTCTTGCCAATAATAAATTAAAGTCCACTAGATTTCAAATATATATCAAATATTGCTTTTATTTTCAAATTTGATTTTTATTATAGTTTTTTATGAATTTTTTATGAATTTTTTATTGTAAAATTATTGTTCACTACATTCGTCGTTGAATCGCTTGTTTGCTAAAAACGTGAATGTCAAAGTTTGAGATACAATTTTTAAGCATTCGTTTCACAAGTGATTCGAAGGAAAACTGCTTCAACAACAAACAAAACAGTTATTTTGTTTGGCTGTGCTTTGCTTAATATTTATCTAAAGATATAGTAAAATATCACATTTTTAACTGTGTAGATTTATAAAATATGCTTTTTTTCTCTTTTTATTAAACTAGTATCTGCGGTGATGCTGGCTGGCATTGTTGTTTCACCACCGCAAAAGATAATTTATCAATTTTAATAATTAATAAAAAAAATGTCATTAATTTTGTATCGAAATTATTCAGCTAATAAAAATGAATATAAATTTGAATCAAGTGTGTATTTTATTACTTATTTATGACTCATAGTGTTTATTTTTATACAGTTATGTAGAGAATGTATCTCATAAGAACATTAACGGATAATTAAAGTTAAAACTTGCAAACAATCTTTGAAATTGTTGAGTAAAAGACTTAGAAACTATAATAATAATAAATTAAATTCAAAAAATATCATATATATCTCTATATAAAATTATATTTAACAACTCAAATTTTAATAAGGACACTTTTAAAGTGCTGATTTGGTCATTATCTACTTTATGTCATTACATCTAAAGTTAGGTTAAGACAACTGCATTGCATTCTATTTAGAGGTAGACAGAAATAGACTACTGCTTTTAATAATCTTATTGATAAAATTAAGCTTTTGATCGTATTAATTTAATAGACTTAATAAAAACCATTTAAATCTTTGTTTGAAGTTAATTTGTTGAATAAATTCTCGAAACGAATTTTTATTTGCAAAAAATATTTCATATTTCAGTGTAGGTTCCCTTAAATTATATTGAAATTTAATCCAAAGATCCTTCAATTTTTGAATACTATTTTGTAGTAGTTTTTGTAGAATATTTGCATAATAAAAATTTTCTGCAGTTATTACTTTAACATTCTTTATAATTTACTGTTGTAATTATAAATTATATTTTAAGTATTAAGCTAAAGTAATCAAAAAATACTCATTTCTTAGTGGACTCACCGTCATGTTGATGTATATCTGTAACCATATATATTATGTTGCAAATCAATAATTATCATACAAAATTCAAATTTTTAGCAGTAATAGCTAGATGATTATTTCGCACTGTTCAAACAAACTCCTATAGCACACAAGACAACATAGTTGTTGCTGCAAGTTTGTTGCTTTCTTCTTGTGCATAGTTTTTTTATGTGTACTGTCACTAAATGCTACTAACGACTCTAATCTGGTGTTGCTACGGATCTATCAGATTCGTCCATGGCCTTAGCCAGCTAATACTAGTTTCCTGTGGTCTTCAATTAAATCGGCTCTCAAACCAACTTGAAAATAAATATTTTAAACATTGAAAAAGTAGTTCATGACAGTAGTATGTATATGGAAAAGTGTAAGATGATTTAAAGTTTGAGATGAGTAACAGAAAGTCTGAGAGTGGATTTCGCTCGAATTTTCGGCAACGAAATTGCAAACAAACTTGCCAGAAGAAGGGCAGCGTTCTGGCTTGTAGGCGTGTAACTATTCTGTGGCAGGAAATAAAGAAAGCTATACTGGGATAAACTATCACAGCTATCACAAGGCATAGCTCTTATAGGGTCTTATAACTCAAGACCGCTTAGAAATGGTATGCAACTAAGTAAAAATTATTTGAGAATCGTTACAGAAATTTCTGACCTTACAAAACTGGGAACTTACTCTAATAAAACTTTTAGATTTTGTAGAGAAGAGCATAAGATTTTAATACATTTGTTGGGAGTTTGCTCGGCTCTAATAAATAAATAGCACTAAAAAAAATTATCTGGGTGGATAAAGGTATTTCCTCATCCGAGCTCATATCGAAAGAAGACAGAAAAGTCTCTTATAAAGGTTCAAAAGTACAATGTAAAGAGGAAGTTGAACTAACAGGAATACTTTGGATTCATAATGAAACATTAAAGAACTCTAGGTTGCAGTGTTAGATCCACTAACATAATAACTTTAATAATAATAATAATTATTATATTATTATAATTATAATATAATAATAATAATTATTATATTAAATTTTTTTTAATAATTTTTATTATTATTCGTTGAAAAGGTAGTTAGAAAAAATACCTAAAACGATGTCTTATATCGGATGAAGAAATAGGGCTCAGTAAAGTTGATTAATTGTGGCAATCGAACTTGGTGAAATAATTTGAATCCCTGAAGGGGGCAGAATAGATTGTCCATGAGTCCATTTCTCCAAGAGAGTAGCAATAATATGTATATATATAGTGGAGCAATTGTTTTTTAACGTATGTGTGTATGCGTGTGTGTTTATGTATGAAAACAAAGACTCTATATTAAGTTCTTTGAAAAGCTAATTTATTTATCAATTTTATGTCTTAAGGATTTTATAGAGTAGTAATAAAGGAGCAATAATTTTCTTAATAATTTTTTTTTTTTATTCAGCTCATAAAAAATTTCATTTGAATTCACTTTATTCAAACTTGAAGCCATTTTTATTGTTTGACTTAATTACTTAAGTTAATAATGACGAGGGTTTTTTAATTTCCTAATATTCATTATGTAATTTTCCTTATGTAACGGGGGGTGCCTACTACTTAGTAACTTTTAGTAAATGTACTCTTAGTAAATGTCTATTGTAAACTATTAACGATTTTATTTTTTTCCTTTAACGTCAACTGAGTTAAGTTTGAAAGTAATTAATTATATGTGAAGATTGCACTTTTTCTTTAATAGCAACTGTACTTAGGAAGTTAGACAGTCACCCATCTATCTACTAGACTTGTCTCGTTTCGCACAATGTTTTTACAAACTAATTTCATAGAAAGCAGTATTCGCAAAGATATTTTAAATAAATTATCTAATATATTTTTAATTAAAAAACAACTAATTAACCATTCTTAACAACAAAAGTGGTAAAGCAATGCTAATTAAAAGTTTTATGATCAAATGATATCATGATCGTCACTAATAGCTAGATATTTGATGCCTCTTAATTAACTTTACACTGCAAAAATTTCACGGTCGGTTAATCGGATTTTATTATAATTCTTGAATTTGTCATTAAATAGAGACTTGCAAAAAAAGCTTAAAATATCTTTAACCTGTTGAAAGTGTAAAAAGAGTTGCAAGATTTGCCTAAGCTGAGTTCAAATTTTTGCAGTGTGTCGTATCTTAGCTCAATTTATTTATGGCCCAAAAACGTAATAAACACAAAATTAGTTGTAAAGAGTTTTGAGGTCGTTCAACGAAAGGCTCTAATCGGCTTAAAATTTCAACAACTTTTATACAATGTATTTCAAAGATACTTTTTTTAAACATTTAATATCGGCGGTTTCGTTGCTCTTATGAGAAACGTTAAGTATTATTATTGTATTGTGGTTAAATAAGTCAACCTCCGCCTGTATTGTACGCTTTAATAATAATTTTGACTTAATTTAATGCTATATACAAAATTAATTTATATTGTTTTTTTCTTATAGATATATATAATTTTTTTTTTTTCATTTTAGCACATTACACTAAGTGAAAATGGGTACAAAAATCGAATATGTCGATACGACTCACTTATACGCCACAAAATACATTAGGAATTCAAAGGCAATTGCCGTTCTCTGGACCATTTTTACAATTTGCTATGCGATTATAAGCATCGTAGCGTTTGTGACGCCAGGTAAACCTAAATTAATTAATACAATTATTTATTATTAATGTTTTCTTCAATAATCCATATAATAATATATGTAATAATCGATATCCATTTCAGAATGGGTTGGTGATCCAGATAATGAGAGCGCAGGGCGTTTAGGCCTTTGGCAGGTGTGTCAGAAAGATGAAATATTCGATAATTGTAAGAGACGATGGGAAAATATACTTTCAGTGCCAACGTTTTCATTTCAAGTAAGTTTTTAATTGTTTTTTTCTTTTACTCTGAATTTATTTAAATAAAATTATATTCATTTGCAGTTGGCTACATTATTTATGGCGGCCGCTGTGGCCCTGGCCTTGCTCACTATCTGTTTCTTAATTTTTTTGATTTTCATGAAGTCAACTAAAGTATTTCACATTTGCGGTTGGATGCAGATTATATCAGGTATAAAGTTAATTATTTTTAAAGTTTTTAATTTTTTTTTAATTAATTGTGTAGTTTTATTATAACATAAAAAAAATTATTCTCTTGTTTAACTTTCTGTTATATAGGTATTACCTATTATATATTATAGTTATAGTTGTTATTGTATTTTATTGTTACTGTATTTTGTTAATGTTGTACTTGCTTTATAGAGTGTTCACTAATGTAGTGTAGTTGTTGTAGCCCGTGGAGATCTATATACAGCAGGATGTATGAAAGGAATTACAAATACAAATGTATAGGTTTGTATTTAGTAGGGTGAAGGTAGAGTGGAAAGAGGAATGTTGTTCAGAATGCGTAATGAAATAAGTGGGTGGGTAGGATCTTACAGAAATGAGTCTGGGATGTTGTTTAGAATGGGGCACCATATAAGTTAGTAGATAGCACTTTATAGAAACTGGCCTGGGTTAATGGGCCCAACACAATGGTTCGGGACCAAAGAGCGACCCATATTAGCATCGAAACACCTAATTACTGTTATGTTATGCTTCTGTGCACTCACGCGCAAACGAGCTAAGTCAGTGGAAGTGCAAAAAAAAAACTTGAGAGCCAATTTTGTTTTTTTTTCTCAAAAACCTGTCTTTAAAATTCGATAAGCTGACGCCAGCGTGTTGCTCTGTGATGCCAAAGTTCAACCATTTGTCAAACCAAGGAAAGATGATACCAAATTTCAAATATATACTTAAATCAAAGGGATATATTAGATTTAAAAAGTTGATAATGAGATGAAAGACAGTTTAGAGACCATAAACACTATATTTCATTCTAGTGAGTATAACAAAACGAATCGCTTTAGCAATGGTTGATTATCTATCTTCCTGTTAGTCATTCTATCTGTTTATCGTTATCTTTTATCGTGAAAATGGATGTGCGGATAGATGACACATTGCTGCTCTCAATTTTTCATATTTCATCCAGATACATCCAGATTGATTGTTTTATAATTCGCTTACTGGACGTTAATATTTTTTCATTGCAATTCTAGACTAACGTTAGTTTTAGTTTTATATTGACTCTTCACATATTCGTATTTGCAAGATGATATGGGTTTGTTTGTTACTTTACGATTTGTTAACCGAAAGCGCCTACGATTTGTTGATTGAACCTACCTCCCCTAATAGTCTTCGATCAAAAATAATTTGCTTCTCAGTGTTATTTTTATTAGCCAAAGTTTCAGTTTATTTGCTTTTCTGTACTTGTGTATATTTATGCTTGGATATATCTAACCTTATATCTGTCTGACTGCCCGTTTGTCTATTAATAGATAAAAAAATATTATCTTTTTTGTAAGCTACTTGAATGACATGTCTGAGTTTTGAGAATCTAGGTAAATGATATCATTTATGAAATCAGGGATGAAATCAGTAAACTATAGGAATATGATCTGGGGCTTATGCAAAATAATTGACATTAAAAGACTTAACGTTTAAATATGTATTATCATTTATATTTGTTTATATGTATATGACTTAATTCAGAAAAAATATTTCAAAATATTTAAGTATGTAAATATTATGAAAATGAAAATAAATATTCCGAAATATGTATAATAATAGTGTATCGTAAAAATATCACGTGTAACTTAACTGTCTGCATAAGAGTACCGAGATATTGATGCCTCGTTTATGCTGAAATTTTTTTTCTTCCTATTTTATATAATAACTATTTTTATCATATATAAAGTTTTGGCTTGAAAGCAAATATTTTTTTATATAAATTCGCTTCACATACGGAAGTTTCGAAATTTATAAAAAATGTTTTGTTAGTTTCGTCAAAGTATTAGCACAGAAAAAAAATGCACTTACAACACGTACTCGAATTGCAGTTGTGCCGATTTCGTGTGTTGCGGAGAGGTTTAATAAATTGGTCAGCGGTTTTGATTATGCTTATTATCAACGAATTAAACAATTTTTCAGCTTGAGTCTATTGCAATAAGCTTAACAAACTCTTTCATAAGCATATTTTTTGTTTATATAAAAATAAAAAAAATTATTAAAGAATTGAGTTTTGCAAAATATTTCTGTTTAAATATAAAAATAAAAATTGATACAATTTTATTATATCAAATTGCTGAACCAAAATTTAATTGTAAAATTTAATGAAGTTAAACGTAGAGTTTCTGGAAATAGTCAGGTTTATGTCTCGGAGCCACTGTCTGAGTTTAAGAGGATTAAGTACCTGTTAACCCTCTCACCTGAAATATGGCAACAGCATAGTTAATTAGATATTATGTATATGAGACCATATAGAAATATTGAAAACTCAAAAGACTTAATAATCTAACTTGAAATTTCCAGGATATGGACTCTTAAAGTAGCTCTGTTACAGTTACCATGATGGCACGAACGTCATAGCTTATTTTTTGTGATTCTAGCAATTTTTTTAAATCTCTACAAAATGTGTTAAGAGCGCTAATATTTAAGAGCTAATTTAATTAAGAGTTTTCACTATGAAAATTTTTTAATTTAAAATAATTGTTGTTACTAAACTCTTTAAATAGATTATAATTCTCTTGAGTATCGCTTTTAAGTATTATAAATACATTTTCGATATTTTTTATATTTGCTGTGAAGATACACATGATATAGTAAACTTCAACACATAATCTTGTTTTAAAGTTAATTGCCTACATTTGATATGCGCAGGTGTTGTTAATATTTTTTAATATGAGTGACTATATTCATTTTTACCCTGAAGAAATCATAGTGGTCTAAATACTAGTCCAGTTACTTATGTAATGTTGGTCTCCAATATATTCCCCCGTTATGTAATGACTACACCTTATGTTACCAGTGTTGGTCCCTAGCATAGTCCATCGTTATGTAAAATTGAGATTATATTTACACAACTCTGTTACTGAAAAGGAGCAATTGTTCTTGTAATGACATTCTGTTTTTATATATCGATAATTATAGCAACAAGTTTCCAATGAACACAGCTAACCCAGATCGTTTTTTTCCCTAGTTTTGAGAAAGAGAAACTGTCGCTAAAACGAAAAGAAAATTATATCTATCCATATCCGATTTGTGATACTTTTCGAATATTTTAGTGTAACCATAGTATTTAACATAGTTGGAATTCATTAGGAAATTCAAAAAAGGATCGCTTTATTTTATAGTTGTCAAGTTTGAATAATTGGATTAATACATCTTTTTCAAATTGGTTACGTCGTTAATTATATGTGACTAGCATTGACACAAACTGGTCCAATAGATCATATGTTCCTCACTCTTATGTAGAGAACTTCATTCCTCGCCTCTACACTTCTTCCTCTGTATATGTAGTTCTTGTTGTTGTTATTATTGTAGTTGGAATTATGGTCTTAGCTCTTCATCTAAAACTACGCGAACTTGATTTGCCCTTCGTTTTTAGACCTACCTACGAAACAGTGTCCCACGAACGTTAGTTATGATAATCACATAGTCAAACGACGAATGACGACTCATTTAGACCCAGACTTTATTCACACCTTTAGGTGTGTGATATATTTTCAAAATAATTGCTCTATCAATGATTGCCGGAATTATAATAACAGTTATAATAACAACAATTAAAGTATTATTAATTTTTTAAAAATATTTTTTTTTTTACATTGATTCCTAAAACAAATGTCAGTCTTCATTATTTAAATATATTCTTCTTTACCTAATTTTTTACAGCAATATGTATGATTGTCGCTTGTGCTGCTTTCCCCTTCGGTTGGAATTCAGATGATTTTCGCAAAATTTGTGGTCCAGATGCAAATCGGTTTGAATTGGGTTTATGTGGCATTCGCTGGGCATACCCGTTAGCAATAATTGGTTGTGTTGATGGAGTTGTTCTAGCTACACTTGCCTTCATATTAGCCACCAGACACGTACGCCTGCAGCCAGACCCATTATATCAAAGTTCATTGTATAAAGGTAAATATTTGTGTTTTTAACATTATACTTCAGAACAATATTTTTTATTTTTATTAGTCTATTCCACAGGTGAAATCAATAACGCGTATATAACAGATGCAGTTAGTTTAGCGGGATCGAGGAAATCATTAAATTTACAACCCATTTTGCTAGTAGCACCACCGCACAATGTTACACTATAAAATTTTGTAATTTATTTTAATGATACTATTATATGTTATTTTTATTTATTTATATTTTAAGCTTGTTCGTTTAATGTTAATTTCGCTATTTTGAACGAAATTTTTACTATTTTGTATTTTGGTTTTAAACTTTGGTAAATTATATGAAGAATTATAGCTTTCAAACTGTTAGTATTTAATTAATGACTCTTAAACTGTATTCCTTGAAATTTCAAACTGTACATCTGGCATTCAAAGTGTATCTCAGTTGGATCATGTAAAAATTAAACTAAAAGAAATAAATAAAATGAAATTGTAAATATTTTAAATCGAAAATGACGTAAATAAAATATTATAAATATTATTTTGTAAATAAATTAAAACGTTTTCTTTATTTTGGTATATTATTTTTAATAAGATTATGTGATTATTGCAAAATTAAGAATGTATGTAATAGAATGGAATATTATATTTAGAAATATTAATAGTAATTTTAAAATATTTTAAAAATTATTTGATAACGGATTGAGTAGTGTATTTCAAGATAACTAATTATTTATATTTTCTTTTTACATTTTAGTATAGTCATTAAAAGTTACCCCTGTGATTACTAATATGAAAAATAATGGGTAAATGAATGTTTAGGTGAAAGAATGATTTTACATTCTGTATAATCTTTCTCAAATTCATCAAATTTATTCCCAGAACGATATTTGATTTTTCCGAAGGCTTGTAAAGTATCACTATATGGCATCTATTACACCACATACTCATACGATTAAAGATTTTTAAAGATTGGAAGGCTTTTTGGAGACGTGGGAAGATACAGAAGGCACATGGAACTAAATTAGAAGAATTGGTGCCATAATTCGTGCGGTTATTTATTAAACATTTTTTATAGTTCACTTCAATTCAATGAGCCGGTAAATTACATTGATTGAAAATGATTTCTTTCTTCTATAACACAGCTATTTCACACCACTACTTACATTTTTCTTTCATTGAGAAATTATTCGAAATTATGTAGGCACATACTAGAATCAAGTTGATATATTCCGTATGATTGCTCAGCTTTAGTCTGAGTTAAGAGATAGCTACTAATTTTCTAAAGCTGACCAATCATAAAGATTATGGACACTGTATGTAAGCAACAATCTTCAAAAAAAAATTTCTATCCCGCAGTAGTTCTATTGCTTTAGTAAGAGTCTGTTGGGACCCTTAGTATTAATACTTCCGCTACCAGTCGTAGTTGTGCTTGTAAAGATATATAAAACAGTACTCATATGTTTAATATATATTATGAGACTATAATCTACTTAAAAATGGCCAATTCTATGTTTCTACACTTTAATACATATTAATTATGTATTTGAATAAAATGGAATAACTGTTTATAATACTAAATAATAGCAGTACACGCGATTAGGGTGTTATTATAGTAAGAAATATGGTACAAGTTCAATTTCTAAACTAACTCAGAAGACTGAATATTATCAAATCTGTTGTCAAATCTCGGTAATGTCAAACTAAAATCTCCCACACAAAAAAAAATTCTTGAAGTCACAGTACTCTATCATTTTCTATTAAAAGCATAAATACTTATTTCGTCCTTATAGTATTGTATAATATAAGCACAGTAACATGGTATATCTAATGGATGAAAAAGTACAGATAGTAGACATCTTATACTATTAGCAGAATATGTTAATTATAGAAAAAAATATTACTTTTAAGTTAATATTACAAACTAGATAAAATTAGTGTTGATATGACAATATAAACAGATTAAGAATAGATTAATATTGGAGACATCGAAACATGAATCTAATAAATAGGATTTAGGCATCGAATTTCTGCTTAAAATTTTAAAATAGATTTGATTTTTGCTGGTGTAGTCCGAGTTAGACGATAAAAAGAGTTACTAACCCAATGTTTCCATGTATCGATACACGGAAAAGTCTTGATATTATAATATAGTAATATTTTAAAAGAATATTACCCATGTCCATGAAATTAGGTAATCAAATTCTCTCACACTAACTGAAATCAATTAAATAAATCCATTCAAAGTAATACATTTCTCATATAATATATTTGTTGATAACTTCACCTTCTGTACTTAACTATTCACATACTATAGCAAAATTTCTTAAAATACCCTCTGCTTTACCCACACCTCATGGAATCGCAATAATATTTTACCGCACATCGATTATAACAATAATTAAATAATTATTCTCATATTGAATTCCATTTAAATCGACATTTTAACATTCATAATCTGAAAACTTTATTGTACCCTGGAATTTCAATTGCTACCCCAAAATCTCAGAAAATGGAGTGGTGTTAGAAATTGAAACAACAACAAGAATTGCTTATCGTGCCATTTGTTAGTCAAGTTCCATGGCTTTTTTGATTGCCAATAATAATTTACCCCAAATTATAATTTTCTGTTTACAAACTCCATTGCGATTCTCATCGAAGTCCTCAACTTCCAACACAAGGTGCACACACCACTCGCAACAACAAAAACAAAAACAGTTTTTCAATAAAACGACATTTAAGGATTTGCGTTTAATACTTCACTGGGAGTTATATTTGGAGTAGGAGGGATGATTGGTGGTTGATTGTTGCTACTAAGACAACTCAATTCAGTGACGTCACGTATTTCTGTGAACGCATGGAGGTTATTGTTTATAACTGCTGCCTATTAATAAGTGGGTATGGGTAAAAGCAGAAATATTTCATGAATGTGAAGAATAAATATTTCTGCCAGCAAGTGCCAGAACGTAGCACATAGATTTCAATCCCATATATTCTTTTTTGCTTTTGTAATTCATAAGAAATTCGATGAAATCATAAGAAATACGTTTCAGTTTGAAAAGAGCAGCTGCTGAAGTAAAATGGGCAACAAGCTGACGCAGTGTTTTTTTTCTTTATTCCAACTCCAACCCATTGTTTGTTAATCCAAGACCTACTCACAGACAGCTCCTTCACTGCGAATATATCATAATCAAGTCCACACACATACACAGCGCACATTCGCATGACTATTCGCTTTACGTCGAAAACTGCCATAGATTCTTCGCGATTCCGTTAAGGGAGAAAACTCTGGGTCCCATTTAGGTTATTTACTCACCGGCATGTATTTTTCATATTCGATTTCATTTTTCTCTTACTTTTGCTTTTACTATTTTATACCGTTTTTATGCCAATTCCGTCTTAATAGTCCAATAAGGATTTTATTTTTTGTTAGTCGGGCATACTTAAAATGCGTTAAATACGAGTATGAATTTGCCTGGAGTCCTTTCAGTGCTTACGGATGGCGTGTGTGAGGGATGGCATTGATGTTACGAAAATTGCTGGCAACATATTGCCGAAATTTGCCAACATTTTGTTTTCAATAAAGTTTCACGCTTTTATTTTCATTTCATTTTATTAGTTCGTTCACAGATTTGATTCGATTTTCGTTCTAGAATTGCTCGCCTAAATGAGTGACTGCTTCAGCAGCGTTTCGGTTGCTTTGGGTTAGAGCGAGCGGTATCGGTATTCGTCGCTCTACTGTATGGTGCTAAGGATGAAGACTTTCCCAGTCATTTGTGTGGTAGCAAATTACTTTGATACACAATATTTTTATTGGTTTTTATGGCGTTCATAAACGCGTTTTTAACATTTCTTTTATGGCTCCGAATAAAGTGAGAATATACATAAGCAGTGCCGAGTACTAAGGATTTGGACTGCAGCAAGGATTTGAAGTATTTTTATTGGCGTCTATTGGACATTTTGGTTAGTACAGCTTTTGCTGTTTTTATGCTGTTATGATGAATAATATAAAAGTTATTCGACGCATATAAAACACATGCTGCAAAGCACTTATTTTGAAATATATTTTTGGGCTTTTATTAATATATAATTTTGTAAGTTTTTGATTGCTAAAAAGTATTCCCAAAGATTTATTGATCTGCTGTTAATATGGGTACAATTTTTGTTTTAATGGATTTGAGTGAGCTTTGGCAAATAATATTTATAAATAATATTATTGTTGTAATTATGATTATAATGAGCAATGCAGCTATGGAATTAAACCATAGTCAACTCATAGACTGATTCGTCTGTGTGAACGTGGATTTGACAGGTCTATAAGCTTCAAAGTCAAATGTTTTAATGTTAATTTTTTTTTGTCAAAAACGACGCATCGTATGAGGAAAAGAAACTAAAAGTTCGAAGGTTCGAATAGAATTGAAAAGACAATAACAAATTTTTGTTAATTTATTGAAATTTGGTTAACCATACAACGCTGCTTTGAGTACTGCCAAGTTCTCATCATTGGTCTTTTGTTTTCGATTTAACTTGACCCGGACCTATCATTGTCAAGCAATTTTTGCGAAATCTAAAGTTTAAGTAATTTAGTATCGATTTTCAGTAGAATTAGAGGGAGTCATCAAAATTGCTTGTCAATTTTTTTCTCAAATTTGTTTCAAGAAAATGGCTTGTCAATTTTATTTTCAAATTAATTGATAACAAAGCCAGAGTAGAAACGAGTGAATAAATAAATAACTATTTTTTTTATAAAAATGAAATAAAAATAAAATAAAATAAAAATAAAAAAATATATTAACACACAGTACTTTTACTTATGTTATTTATGTAAAAACATTTAATATAATATTGTCAAATAGATTCATTTGTACTAAAACGAATTTAGTATAAAACCTTTTCTAATTGTAAAACCTTTTTTTAGTAAAATTCGTTGTTGGTTATTAATGGGTTAATATGAAGTCAGAAAGGATTAACTTCTATGACAAATTTCGTTGTTGTTCATTAATGGATTAACATCAGTTCAGACAGGATCAAATTTCTTAGACTAATTATATATTACTTTTTTAGAATAGAATTTTGTGTATCATGTATTGCAATACCTACTTCTTATTGCAATGGTTATTCCTTTAAAATAAATTGCTTCGCGTAACGAAATTACATATAAGTAATATTAAAACTATAGACAAGTATAACAAAAAGGCACCTCTTATTTCAAACAATGCTGCATATAAACTTACAGATCTTCATTCATGGCAAGGCCTTCCTTCACGAAGAGTATACAAAGGCGATCGTGTGGTAATTAGATTGCTCGCTGGTTTAAAAATGAACTCTTCAATCCATAAACTGAAGAAAAAAGTGTTCGGCAAAGATGATTCGGCAAAGAATCACTTCGGACAAGATTCATGCATCCTGTCCTACTTAAGTAGCTACTATGCTTTCGAATAGTTTCAAAGTGTACCTCTGTTTTTCTTATCTTCTATTGAAATCACTATAAATATATTACAAATTCAGTCAATCATAAAAAGATTTTTTCTCTTATGTTTTCATAAAATTATAATTATTCTTGCATCCTGTCTTACTAAAGTACCTACCTTCCTTTTGAGTCGTTACAAAAGGATAACACATATTTTAAAAATTGCTAACTTTTTATGGTCTGGTCCTCTTTCACGATTTTGTATTTCTTTATGGAGACTACATAAAGACCGCAGAATTTCGATTACATTGCTCGAGAACAATGTAAATCTTCTTAAGAAGATTTTATAATCCACTGTAAGAAAACTATTGTTTATATATTCATGTGACAACTTCATAATAGTTTAATTAATTTTCACATGTTTTCAACTTTTGACCTCCAAATAAACTGTAGCCGATTGAAGTGTAAATGAAGTATCCATCTTCCTTTTCTTCTATTAAACGAGCTCTCCATCATTGTACCATTCCAACATTTCAATTATTTTGCATTATTTCAATTTTTACGACTGTTTTTTCCTTTTGTATTTCATAGTAAATTTTTTGCTTGACTTCCTTGGAATTCTTTCCGAAGTACTCGTACACTAACTTTAACAATAATTTTTTTTCCTTTTCAAAACCACCATCTTTTTTCGATTTACGTCGAAGGTCTATTGTTTAAAGAATTTTCCTTTGAGTGGTCGGTCAGTGGGTGGCGTGTTTTGCACGCGTTCCATATGTTGGAGATGGAGGAGTACGAGTATGATGTTAACAGTTGGTCACGCTGTGCCACTGGTAACTGTGTGAGCAC